AACCTAAACGATGTGTTCGTTGAGACATGGGCCGCATTGTCCTGCTCTTTTGTGAAGCCTGAGGCAGCCTTCGATCGGAAGACTAGGCGACCAGGTTTTGGACGAGTCCGTAGAAGGGGAAGGGTAATGAGAGTGGCATCCAGGGGACGGTGGCAGTATGGGATGGACGACGCCCTTGATGTGCCTTTCTCTGATGCAGTCGCATGTGCTTGGTTTTGGGTATAAACTTGGTCGCGACTGGAACCTCGCAAGTAATATTGAGTTCTATGGATCCACATCTATGAATTCATAATTTTCACAGCATGGTTACCTGGTCGTGTGTTCGGCTGATAGTTTTGTGTTTTGGCTGATGTTTGAGTTAAGATAATTGTCAACTATCTACTTATAATAGTTCGGGTCCTTACAAAAACAGTATTAGATGAAGGTGTTGGTTTGGGTGAAGGAAGACGAAGAGGTCGCCTCTTGATTATGACTCATGGCACCCAAAGTGGAAACTCTCTCTGAATGAACATACATGTATTCTTTGCGCAGAAATTGTACTTTTTTAAATGGAGGTGTAGTGGTGGCATTGTTGAATTAGTATTGTTCTTCTGCAATTGGAACTCAAGTGCATCTCTAAGTGTTTTCAGTCTTGATATTGGAAGTGTAAATGACATCCAGTGAATGGATTATTGCTACACAAGGGTGATATGGCGAGGGAGTTGTGTTTGACAACTGTATTCACATCAACTCCTACTGTTCACAACTGTCGAAACGACCAGCTTTATTCACTCTATGATTACTCATGTGGCCAATTTCGACGATCCAAGACAAATTCTTTGCAGCAGCCACTTAGATTTGGCTCTCCTTCTATGAAGCTTGGGATTTGTATCAGGATAGCATCATGCCACGCCTCTCTCTTCCTCACACTGCTGCAGTCACACTTTGCATGGGATGCATGTGTTTATCGCAATCCAGGACTAACGCCCCGCAGCGGCCCTCTTAATCTAGCTCTTTGTCCATAGTGCGTGGAACAGCACTATGTCGCGCCTCTCCCTACCTCACTCCGCTGCAGTCACTTCTCATGTGGGGCGCATGCGTCCATCGTAATCTAAAATAAATCTCCTGCGGTGCCCGACCCTTTCTGCCTCTTTGTCTATGATTTGTTTGGCCTTTTTTCCCCCCATTCTCCCTCCTCCTAGACCCCTGATTTACACTACTTCCCTTCTCATGACTTGAACCTCCACCATGACAACGACGAGCGAGATGAACTTCAAAAAAAGAGGACTGTTCTCAACTAGATGTCATACGCATGGTCCACCACTTCTCTCAGACTTCACTTGTGTCCTTTGCTTTTGACACTAGAATTTCGAGCTCCTTCATTAAACCTGATTTTAGCCATATCACCTCATATATTTCTATATATTCCAACTTCCTCTCCGACTAACTATAGGATACCTATCACGGCCATAATCATGTAAGCTAATAATTACATATAGAAATAGGTAGAAGTAAGTAAAAGTAGATAAAAGTAAGTTAATTCTATAATATTTAATATAGAAGCTTCGTAGAAACTTCTTAGATGCTGCTTTGACTTCATAGGTGTCTTTAATTGACTTTTTGGATTAGAAACGTGGTCAACAAGTTGGCCATGTGCCACACATGTTGTTAGCTTGAAGTTCAAGCTAACTATGTGGCCCACACGTAGAAAAACTTGCCTTGTAAGTCAAGGCATGTGCCCTACAAAGTCAACACATATTGGAGGTCCTATAGAACATCGCCACGTAGCTCTTAGTTAGATAGTATATATAGAGACAAGAGTGAAGGCTTCTTCACTCTTGTCAACTCCTTTCTTGCTTCTAGTCCAGGTTTAAGAGTCTTTAGTTTCTTGTCTTGTGGCAATAGCCATTCCAGTTTCCTTTTAATATACCTACTTGTTTATATTTTGACTTATTATATCGAGATAGCCTTTTTGTGTATATTTTCCCTCATCGAGTCTTCGTCTTGGACAATACCTAGGTTTAGGAATAAAAATCCAGATCATCTCTTGTTTGTAGGGTATACTTTGGACCTAGAAATTACCATTGGGAGCTTTTATTTCGAAGACTACCCCTATAAATTGTATACCCTAATCCAAGGTATTGATCTATTGTAAGATCATCAGCTTTGGACATCACCATTTGAAGCAGGTCTAGAAGCTTTGTGCAGCTGATATAGTTATGAGTGGATGGCTTGCAGACTTCGTAGTAATCTACATCTTCGATCTTAATGTTGTTGTTGTTGTTGAAGCTTAACCGCATTGCTAAAGCGTTGGGCACAATCAACACCTATGCTTCCAACATTGAAATGCATATTATAAAACGTGCAATAAGGAGGTGTCAGGACCCGGTCTGAGAAAATGTGGAGCAAATACGAAGGACTCACACTCCAATAGACATTTCCCAATCTCCCACCCATCCTTCTACCCTGCTCCGCTATTCACACCCAATTGGGCATTGCAGTGGCAATAGCCATATGCTGCATTCATTCCTCGTCTCGTGCCGTCGTGTTCTTTGCCATCAATGCCAACCACCGTCCCTGTCGTTACGTTGGCAGATTCCTAAATCCTAAGACCCTAGAATCCTAAGATCCTAGTACTCCAAGATCCTAGAACCCCAAGACCCTAGAACCCTAAGACCCTAAGACCCTAAAACCCTCAAATCCTAAGACCCTAAGACCTACAACCCACAACCCATCTAGTCAGCATGGACAACAAATTTAGTGATGCCATATACCCGGGATTTGTTTTGGCATAGCAAAATTTGGTATGCATTCCAACTCTTTACATAGTTCTCACATGATATCAAATATAAAACTCAGATTCCGAATTAGGGTCCTTAAACCCTAAAACCTGAAAAATGAAACACATATTTTTGAGAAACAAAAATATTTATAAACGTCTTTGAGACAATACAAGGCTTGACAAAATTTCAAACTGGAAAAAACTATGATACATTGAGAGAAATATAGGATCAAAAACCTCTGGGACACTCTTGTAACCCTAAACCTTAAACCTAAACCCTCTAAATCCTAAACTGTAGAAATACATAAAAAATAGTATACATATAATATTTTGAAACAAAAAAGGACATATATGTACATATGCTATTTAATATATTAGTATTATATCTAGGTGCCTCTATGTATTTATTATACATTTAATTTAATTTATTTTTTTTGTTTCCTCATATATTAATCAAAGATAAATCCTAAACTTGCTCGAGACCCTAAGACCCTGGAACCCTAAAATCTTAGAATCCTAAACCCTAGAATCGTAAGATCCTAAGACCTTAGACCCTAAAACCTAAGATCCTAAGACCTTAGAACCCTAGAATCCTAAGACCCCAAGACCTTAAGACCCTAAGACCCTAAATCCTAGAACCCTAAGACCCTAGAACCTTAGAATCCTAAGACCCTAGAATCCTAAGATCCTAAGATCCTAGAACCCTAGAATCCTAAGACCTTAGAATCCAAAGATCCTGAATCCTAATATCCACGAATCCTAAGACCCACGAACCCTATGATCCTAGAAGTCTAGAACCCTAAGTCCCACGAATCCTAAGATCCTAGAACTCTAGAACCCTAAGACCCTAGCACTCTAGAATCCTAAGATCCTAGAACTCTAGAACCTTAAGACTCTAGAATCCTCAGACCCATGAACCCTAAGACCCTAGAACCCTAATATCCTAATACCCTAGAATCCTAATATCCAAAGATCCTAAGACCCTAGAACCTTAAGATCCTAGTACTCCAAGATCCTAGAATTCCAAGGCCCTAGAACCTTAAGACCCTAAGACCCTCAAATCCTAAGACCCTAAGACCTAAAAACCACAACCCATCTAGTTAACATGGACAACAAATTTGGTGACGCCATACACTCGGGATTTGTTTTGGCATAGCGAAATTTGGTATGCATTCCAACTCTTTACATAGTTCTCACATGACAACAAATATAAAATTCAGATTCTGAATTAGGATCCCTAAATCCTAAAATCTGAAAAATGAAATACATATTTTTGAGAAACAAAAATATTTATAGACGTCTTTGAGACAATATAAGGCTTGACAAAATTTCAAACTGGAAAAAACTATGATACATTGAGAGATATATAGGATCAAAAACCTCTAGGACACTCTTATATCCCTAAACCCTAAATCCTAAACCTAAACCTTCTAAATCCTAAACTGTAGAAATACATAAAAAATAGTATACATATAATATTTTGAAACAAAAAAAAGACATATATGTACATATGCTATTTAATATATTAGTATTATATCTAGGTGCCTCTATGTATTTATTATACATTTAATTTAATTTCATTTTTTTGTTTCCTCATATATTAATCAAAGACAACTTTTAGGATTTTGAAAACCTCATAACTCCTAAACCCTAAACTTGCTCGAGACCTTAAGACCCTGGAACCCTAGAATCTTAGAATCCTAAACCCTAGAACCCTAAATCCTAAACCCTAAAATCTGGTTAGGGTTTGATTTAGGGTTAAGGATTTGGTTTAGGATTTGGTTAGGGTTTGGTTTAGGATTTCAGATTTGGATTTAGGATTTGATTAGGATTTGATTTAGGATTTTATTAGGATTTATTTAGGATTTAAGATTTAATTAATTTTGTCCTAAAGTTTGAATGAAGTCCAATAGGATTTTGACTAGGATTAAATTAAGATTGAATTGAGATATATTTGAGAGATATTTGTGATTATTCTAATATTTCTTTAAGATTTCTTATTGTTTCTTTGAAATTACTTTGAGGTTTCTTTGAATTCGATTAAGCTTATTTAGCATTATTGTGGTCCAATTAAAGCATTGTTAGTATTCTATTAGAATTAGGGTTTTGTTATTGCAATTTCTATTCTTCCTTCCACAATCAGGTGCCCAGAGCATTCTCAAGCAAGACTTCACTTATTATGACAACATTCCAACTTGACTAATGCTGAAATTTTTATGCATCACTTGATATTAGATACTTTGACAAAAGCAAAATTTATTGTCACTGTTAGTTTAAAGGAAATGGTCTATCACATGTTAGAAATGGGAACAAACAAACTGGAATATAAAGGAACTAACTTGAATGTTTTCAATGCTGAAGCATTCCTGTGAAGAAAGTCCGTGAAGAAAGTCTATCTATTTTCTAAGTGGTAGTAACTTACTACAATGTGCTGCAAAGCTAATCTAAAGTTGGGCACTAGAACTTGCAAACCATGGCTATCTTAGTCATGGACTCCACACTCATCATGATCCATCTCCAGCAATTCTCAACACTTTACGCATCGACTTCATAGTGGGGTAAATATACAAAAATAAAACTTTCCTTTGTTGAGTTGTGCTCAGGAATCATTCAATGCCACCAATTCTCCTGCGATTGGTTTACCAAAGGTTCTAGGTGGACGCAGAGGCATCACATTCCCATACAACTCAACAGTTGGATCTGTAGGCAATAATTCCCACAAACGTGTCTCCACGTTATATACTATCGAGAATCCAAGCCATCTATACGTAAGCATAATGGAATTGCCAAAACCAAACGCCTGGTTAAAAACGAATGATCTCACAGCCACCTGCTCCCCAAGTTTCGCATCAAAGAATTCGTCAGTTGGGCCATCCACCTCCAGCTCTTGCGCATCGAACGAAGGTTCTGCCAAATGGGACTCTGTGATGAAGGTGCCATCTGCGAGCAAAATTTCGAATACACTTAATGGATCCAGCATTCTAATCGAACCTTCTCTCGTCTCCAGATGCAACGTATGTCCGCTCACCACAAACAAGCGATTTCTGCTGACAACGAGTTCCTTTCGATCAATACCATTATCTGGCCACTCCGGGAAGTCCACTCCGCAATCTGTCCAAAAATCCTCCAGGAAGGTGTATCTATGAAGCCAAAATTTGAATGGCCACCCTTCATTTGACCCAGGGACACGATAAGTTTTAAACAAAACGTACAACTGCCCCTGAAATATGACGCTGTGTGCTTGAGCCCCTGCCCCATCGTGCAGCCGCAGCACGGGCGGGTTACTCGAGATCCGCCATTGATTGGTAGTGGAAGCAAAAACACACATAAAGGGGTCTTCATATCTGTTGATGAGGAAAATCTTGTAGGCCTGGGAGATGCTGTCAACGGCCAGATTTACTAGAAAACTGGATAAATAGAGATTATTCCATGCCACTGGCATTGGCAGTACCATTTTGGTCATCACAATGGGGTTAGTAATGACTATCTCGGAAATGGTTGCTGTACCGGCCAACACAGAGCAACATACTACTAAACCTTCATCCGAAGCCAGAGGATGGTCATTAGCAGCAGCCATTGTAGTGGTGCCGCATAATACGATCAAATCCTCATCCGAAACCAGAGGGTGGTCATTGGAATAAGTGCTCAGTAAAGGCCCCTTCCATGTGTACCACCGCCTGTCATTCAGGTCAAATATTTTCCACCCAACAACCTTAATGTATTTAAGCGTACTGCCATCAATGTCAGTAAGGCTTGTCTCAAAGTGTTGGTGAAAACAACGCCCGATGATGTAACGAGCATCTTCATTCGCATTCCGGAAACAAAGAAATTTTCCACATTCTGGCGCGCAGATCAGAGAGTTCCATCTCTTGCATACCGCACGAAACCTACACAAGTCGAGTGTGGCGCATAACGACAGCACTTGCTGCACGAGCATGTCGGAGAGCCGACGCCACTCATTCATCGTGCTCTGTGAACGTCACAAGAACACATCCCCACTTGTAAGCTTCTTCACACCGGTTACAAAACTACTATACAACTCACACCTCTATGGAATATTTTCAATCCTACCAAGATCATATCAGCGCAGCTAAACCAGACCAAGAAATGAGTTGCAGAACCTCTCCAGGCATCAACACGGCTACAGTGGAGCTGCCAGACAGTTAGCGCACGTACCGTGATCGTAGGTGATGGCAGATCAAGTAAGCCAGCCGATGTAGACTCGGCGCTCGAAGAAGACTTAGGATTCAGCATTGTACCATCATAAGAAGACGTTGGAGTATAAGATGGAGCCGAGGAGTCAGCATAATTCTCAGTATTAGAAGAGCCCGTTAGGTCATGAGATGGAATTCTGGTGAATTGGGTCTCACCATTTGGAAAGTAATAGGTTTGAGTAGAACAATCATACATAGTGTAGTGAAACCAATCGTCAGAGCCCTTCACTATATCTTTAGGCGGATTATCAAGAAGATACCATCGTGGGTCTGTCTCTGTAGTAGCATTATTAGCAGTTTCTATAGTCCAAGCAGACAACCAAGCAGACATCTCGATAACATCCCGTTCTACAGGATCAAAAGTTCCGTCGTAATTTGCTTGGGACATGGTCTGAGACGAGGTCCCGGAACTCTCAGTATTAGCAAGGGAATTGGTTAAGTTATAAGATGGAACCATGGTACCGGCAGATGCCGCTAAAGTATAAAATGGAGACTCCTGATTATCAATATCAGTATCAGGAGGGGTTGCAGTGTAAAATGGAACATCCGCATTATCGGCTTCCATATTGTCATTACATGGGACTGAGGAATAGAACAGAGCCTCGGTATTTTCGGAATCACTCCGCGCTACCGCAACGTAGGACGGACCCTTGCTACAAGAACCGTCACCGTAATAAGCAGGACCTGAAGAATAGAATGGAGCCTCCCCGTTCTCAGTACCAGCGGGATAAGGAATCAAGGAATAGGACAACACCTTCTTGTTCTCAGTGGCGGTGGATGAAGGGACCGCAGCATAGGACAGAGCTTCTCGATCAGCCAGGCTCATGCTCCCAGTGGCAGCGGAGGAATCCGCGGCCGGGGTCGGGGAATAAAAGGGAGCTGTGCTAACAGTAATCTGGCCATTCACAAAGGAGCCCGAAGCTGGAGATGAGGAATACATCAACATGACCGGAGCCTCACTAACATTCTCAGACGTGTAATCAATGGACGAAGCAGCCGAACTTGTGTAAAAAAGAGGCTCAGCCGTGTTAACAATACCCTGAACGTCACTAGAGGAGACCGAGGCTGGTAATGGCGAATACGTCAACATCGGAGCCTCACACTCCTCGGATGTGTAATCAATGGAAGAAGGGGCCGAGGAATACGACGGAAGAACTCCGCTCACATTCTCAGAATGAGTGTTGTAAGAGGGAGCCAAGGAATTCTCACTGTCGGTAGAGTAAGATGGGGTCATGTGAACCAAGTAAGGAGTCAAGGAGCTAGAAGACTCAGCCTACCAATCGGTACTCTCAATTCCATTGCCAGGAGGAGCTTCTGCTATATAATAAGCCGGAGCCTGGTCGGCTCCAGTGCCGGTTGCCCGTGTTGGCACTAGAGTAAGAAAGGGCCGAGGTATCCATCAAAATCTGACGTGATTGCCAAATTATAGTGACGTTCCCCCTTGAACTACAAAATTCGACGAACCCCTCCGACACGGTCAAAACGTCCGGGCCGTCCAACAATAATCTCTTCGTGATCAAATGGCAGCATCCTAGCTCCCCGATTAACGAAACGTCAGCTGCTCCGAGAAGCACACCGACAACACAGAACAAAAAGCAGCTGGGCTGGTGTATTGTACTTCTACAAGTCAGGTTACAATCGAACATTCCACACAATCGAGTCTGAATGCAAGGAATTTCGTTCAAACACTTACCTTAGTACAGTGCAGTGCAGTGCAGTGCAGGTTGATCCACATTCTCAGTGTCGGGAGCCAGTCACGACCAACCCAATTAGTTTCCCTTGTAATCACCAACGTCGATCATGTAGAATGTGCGACAACCAGCTGATTTAGGGTTTCAACTACAGTAACATCGGCTGCTCGCCAGATCGATCGAGGGAGATGCCAAGCTAGCTGTTCACGAGCTCGAGCTTGGTCGCAGGTTACCACAAAGATCATGGTTATCAAATCTCGTCAAGGCTCAGACTGTCTCAACAACATCGGTAACTCGTCTGCACGTCTACAGTCTACACACATCAAGCTGAAACAAACGTCGGTTGAAAAACAGAGACGTCTGTTGATATGGATGGACGATGAGCGTGCGGGCAATAGCAGATTGTGGTGGTGTATCTAAATAAAAATATTATATGTTATTGGTAGAATTATTTAGATACGAAACTCGTATTGGAGATAGCCTGTGCAACATCGTCAAAAATGCTTCACGCGTCCAAGAATGTACAATGATATTCGTTGTGACGCCATGCCGTGGCGCCTCAGACTGGGTCTTTGCTTCGGCAACGATGCTCATTATACTATGGTACGTTTAGTACTTTAATTGTAGCCAAGTGGGATAGGGTTGCGCAGGCAGTTCTCACACTTACCGTAGAGAACATGTAGGTGCAACAGGTACCAGGTTTTGTTGATGTTTGGGTCTGTCGATCTAGCTTGGTAGTATTTATGTGTACTGCAGTGGTTTGATCATGCATAGCTTCAGAGTTTTAACAACCTAGATCAAGTAATGTAAGGCCGTGATGGTCTATGATCTCATATTTGATATTCTGGAATCAAATGGTTCGCTGTAGACATGAGATTATGGAGCCGTGGAGCTTCTTTGGTCTCAATCTCTACTTGAGATCTTTCCTAGTAATTCTTTACCAACTGGGAGGTACGTATACCACGAACTTTGAAGCTGAGTAGATGTCGTTATCATCACGCATTCTGACCAAGGAAGAATGCAAACAATCATATTAATGAAAATCTGGCACAAACTTAAAGAGCTTGTACATAATCAACTCATGTCATACATCAGGGATTGTAACAACGCCTAAGCTGTCGAGCATATTTCCAGCTCTTCCATAAAACCCAATTACTCTCGAACCCTCATCACTTGTAAACTTCATGCCCCTTTCCTCACCAAAAGGACCATAGGTTTGGAGATTAGTATGTATTGTTAACGATGAGACAATTTTAATGGTTATTCTCGTACTATTCTGTGTTTTTACATCTAGTTCGGACACAAACCCGCTGATCTGTTTGATGTACTCAATTTCGGGCTTGAACTCGATCTGCAGTTACAAAGACAGCTTAAGTTTAGAGGACGAACGACCTTTGTTTAACAGAAACATATCTCACAACTGAACGCATTACCATACTGTCATAATTAACAAATTTATGTATGAGAAGCAACTACTACAACTGGAAGAGGACGATATGGAAGATTTCAAGCATTGCTATTGATAACACAATGAATTCAGCGTAAAGAGCACACTTACCTTCTCATTGTACTGTCCATGGCCTTTATCCATTACATATGACTCTTTCTCAAAGGTTTTATGAAGAATCTCATATGTCACCTTCAGTAAACCCACGATTCCTGGACGTGTTGAGTATCTTAATGTAATCCCTTTGATGGACGTAGCCATATCGAAAAAGTCGCGTCCATTTTTAGGGTCTCCCCACGGTCCCTGAAGCTGATTATTTGATAAATGCATCAGACATGGCACCCACTGTCATTCTTGGAAATGTTTAATATGTCCAAGGCTTTTTGACTCTAAACAATCCCTGCCTCTTCCAACTTACAAAAGCTAATCCCCAAGGGCCAGCAGATCACATGATCTTGGGCAGGGGAAGTGGCAATTTGCATTGTATTCTCAATTATACAGATTCACAATATAGCTTGCAAGCCATCCAGACTAAAGTACATGTTGGACAGATGAACAAGAATATAGTTTACCTTCACGCCCTCCATTGGTCTCAGTGGGCCGGGGATTTGCGTCTGCAACTTTTGCTCATCACCTACGAGTCATTTAGTGTCAACAAAATTAAGTCCTAATGCTACTCATCATGAGATTGACATTGACTTCTGCTAAAACAACACTAATTTGAACTTGTGAAATGAAATCATAGCCACTCTAATCCAGGGGTAATCAAATGACAGACTTTTCCTCCCGTGTGAAGGATGGCATAATTCAAGGATATGTTTAGAATTGATATAATTTTCTCACAGCCTCTACCAGCTCCTCCCAACAATTTATGCGACATGCATGAGTTCAAGCTTAATGTGCGAAATCCGAGTGAGCTCACCTTTCAATAGTAGGCCTTTGATATACCTCAGCTCCCTGCAGATTTCAGGAAATAGAGGTCGCTCATGAGGAATCCCAGCCCAACATTTGGTAAGCAGGGTGGTCAACCGCAAAGGACAATCCGCTGATAGCTTTCGAAGGATTGGCCTCTCACCCGCCTTCGATCGCTCCCTTATCGCCATATTGTCAAAATCATACGGATAACTCCCGGTCAAAATCTCAATGGACATAATGGCGAAGCTGTAGACGTCAGCTTTCAGCAGGTTTAATCTAACCTTCTTCGGTTTTCCTTCTTGTGTCATGACCTCCGGCGCCATGTACTTTGTGGTACCGATGTTTATCGTATTTGTTTGTGTTCTATCGGCTGCTTTAGTCGTGCCAAAATCAGCAATCTTCACTGAACGAATTCTTGACACGCCAGAGGAACGTTCAAGGTTGACAAGGACATTCTCCGGTTTGAGACCGCGATGCGCGACTCCCTTACCATGCATGTACTTCATACCTTCTCCAATTTGGAGCATCAATGAAACAGCTTCCACTAGAGGAAGTTTCTTTTTCTCGAGGCGCAAAGCCTTCTTGAGGTCCATCTGCAATTGCTCCAGAACGAGATAGAATTTACTCTCCGGATCCGTCTTGGAGTAGCAGAAGAGGCGCACTATGTGGGGATGGTTCCCCAGTTTCTTTATAGCATCCATTTCCTGTTCAATTGCACTCGTGGGGAAGTCCTCGAGAACCTTCACAACGCACTCGCAGTCCAGAAATTTGGAATCTTTCACAACACCGAATGAACCTCTACCAATTTCTCCGCCGTCGAGATCAAGGTCATCAAGATTCACGAATATCAAATCAGGGGAATGAGCCACGATTTTTTCATGCAATTTACCAGCAAACTTTCCCTCAGCCTTCGAAGCACCCAGATGTTCTACGGCGGCACTGAGGCGATTACTGAGCTTCTCCTCATCCTTCTTCATCGCTGTCAGCAACTCCAATTCATCGCCCGCACTCAACCGACAGTCGCACAAAGTTGGGTCAAATTCGACGGAGGACTCCTTCGAATTTTCGACCAGAATACTTTGAAGAACAGATGTGTGCCACTGAATGTCATAAAGTAGATGTGAAAAGGTTTCTTTCAGGTCACCTTGTTTCATAGCTGCTCCTAACCACTGGGTAGTGGTGATGTGGCTCATTTCCATGAGCATCTTGGCATCGCGAAGAGATTGATGAAGCTCCTGAAGCGCTGGAAGTGTATTTTCCCCAAGAAGCGGAGATTGCTGAATTGCAGCCAGAGTAGAATCTGTCGCTATAAGTCTCCGAACAAGGAAGTCACACTGGTGCCAATTCAGATAATGATCAGCTCTGCGCTCACCTATCGTGCTCCAAAATTTAGCTGAGTTCTGTACTGTTTCTCTGCAGTTGTTGATGACTTTCTCCGCGTTGGGTACCTCTTCAACGGGAAAGAACCTAAATAATGAGCGGATATTCTTTGTTATGCGCTGAGACAGTGAGTGAGACTGAACCTTGATTGTAGCATCATCGCCGTACGTCGAAGGGACCGCAGCATACGATGGAGCTTCTTGATCAGCCCGGTTCATGCTCCCAGTGGCAGCGGAGGAATCCGCGGGCGGGGCCAAGAAATAAAAGGGAACTGTGCTAGCAGTACTCGACTGGCCATTCTCAAAGGAGCCCGAAGCCGGAGATGAGGAATACGCCAACATCTGAGCGTCACTAACATTCTGAGGCCCGTAATCAATGGAAGAAAGAGTCGAACTTGTATAAAAGAGAGCCGTGTTTACAACTGTACCCTGACCGTCACCAGAGGAGGCCGAGGTTGGTAATGAGGAATACGTCAACATCGGAGCCTCACTCTTCTCCGATGTGTAATCAATGGAAGAAGGGGCCGAGGAATACGACGGAAGAACTCCGCTCACATTCTCAGAATGAGTGTTGTAAGAGGGAGCCAAGTATTTCTCACTGTCGGTAGAGTAAGAAAGGGCCGAGGTATCCATCAAAATCTGGTGTGACAGCCAATTTCTTGACGGATTACTTGACACAAGAGTCGAGCGTGAATGCAAGGAATTTTGATCAAACACATACCTTGACCAATGCGCTGCAATGTATATTGTGCAGCAACCAGATGAAGTAGGGGTTAAACCTACAGCATCGCCATCTGCTCGCCAGATCGAGGGAGGGAGATGCCACACCGGATTTTCATCGCCACAGCTTACAACATGATTTATCATGCAAGAGGTTCGGCCTGTTTCTAACACCGGCGCTACATCGGCCACTCCGTCTGCACACAACGCATATCAAGCATTGGCCAGAAAACAGAGGCGTCCAGTACGATGGGCGATGAGGCTGAACGCAAAACTATGTGGTGCGGCATCTGAGTAAACTTATGACATGTATCATTATCGGTAAAATTAATTACGAATTTCAAACGGTGGTGGCAACATCGTCAAAGATCCATCACAAGTCTAAGAATCTGCAATGATGTCTTTCGCCCACAACGCCGTACCCCTGTCTCTGCAAGTTGGGTGACGACATCCATTGTGTTTTTTTTCTTCTTTTGATTTGACGAAATCAAGGGGAACCATTACTGCAGAAAGAATGAGATAAAAAGCCGATTCCTCAAAATTCGGCAATGGTTTTGGGTTTACATGGGCATCTTTGAAAGTTTTGACTAATTACTTTTGAGTTTTAAAGATACCTACCCTCCATTTTTGAAATCTATGATTCCGATCAAATGATTAGAATCCTTTACTAATTCTTAGATTTATAGATATTGAAAGTTTGACTTTGGATTTAGGATTTTGACTATTGGTTTTATAGTTTTGAAATTTGAAGCTTATGTTTTATGATTATATGGACATCTTCAAGAAAGGATTTAGGATTAAAGATTACATAGGCATTTTTGAGAAAGTTGGTTTTAAAGCTAAATTTTAAAGGCATCTATCCTCCATTTCAAAATCTACAATTTTGAGTATATAATCCATCTTTTTTTATAGATTTTTTCATTTAAAGTTATAAAAGGTTTGATTTTAAAATTTAAAATTTTGGCTTTTCGACTTTTATATTAATAATATGGATATTAGTATTATTATATGTTATATTAATGTCTATTTTATATATAATAATCAATATGGAATAAATCAATATTTGTTATAAGGGTGGTTTTTTTAAATTTTGATTATATAAATATAAAAAATACATAAAAAATTTAAGTATAATATTTAAATTATGAATTATAAAATAAAATAATAATCGAAATTTATAAATTCTATAATATATTAATTTAAAGAGATAGGACTATCACTTCTTTTACTTGAATTTGTGGATTTATAGTTTAAACATGCTATTGCTAATTGTCTCAAATTTTTTTAATAAAGTAATAAGCTACACTAATACAATTTTAATAAACATCTTATTCTTTCCAATATCTATGATCATTAGTCTTTTTTAACATTGATCATTATTCTATTGTAAAGAAATCATTGTACATTATTGAAAAAATCAAAATTTAATTGATGGTTTTTTGATTCATTTTGCTTCCAACCATTTTAAAAAAAACTCTATAGCTCTCTCAAAAATTATTGACAAATTTTAACTTTCTTTAATTTTGAGCTTCTATAAATTGAACCTTTATATATTTATCATTCTAACCTATATATATATATATATATATATATATATATATATTGTTGTAGGCATATCATCAAGGGGCTACTTTTGTATCACAAATATAATTTTATAAAAAAATTCTTAATAAATTTTAATTTTGACTATACATAGATTTATTATGGATTTGAAAGTGAGTGAATTATATTCCTTAATATTATATATTTTATATATACACTCTTATATAAATCTATAAGTAAAAAATTAAATTTTGCTTAATTTATATAAATTAATTATATCTTTAGCAAATACTATTTATAATCAAATAAATTTCTTCTTTGAAAAACCAATAAATTTATTTTTTTATAGTAATTCTTTATAATTGGTATCTACCATTTTTATGGTGTTGTAGAAATGGTAGATACCAATTATAAAACTAAGGATTTCTCATTAATTGGTATCTACCATTTTTATGGTGTTGTAGAAATGGTAGATACCAATTATAAAACTAAGGATTTCTCATTAATTGGTATCTACCATTTTATATCAAAAAACTAAACTTATTATATTTTAACATCAAACTGATATAATGCTTGTAATATGGTCTAGATAGAAATATTGACTTGGTTTTTAAATAATATTACACTATCATCTAAATATGTCAATGCCAAACCATAATTATATTAAAAAAATTTAGAAATCTATTTCTAAAATCTTCTTTGTCTTATACATCACCTCAAATACAAACTTTAATAATTATGGAAATTGAAATGATATGAAGCTAATCATCAAATTGCTCAAAACATTTGACCTTTATTTTTTGATTTACTTGGCAAATCATAATTCAAGATAAGTTAAACAAATCTTATGTGAACATCATGAAATAAGCTACATCTAAATTAATGTACTATAAATCATTGATTTCTAGGTATTATTCTATATCACTATATGGTCTTTTAAATGATGAAAATCAAATTACTCAAGTAATTTTAAGATTTCAAATTTGACCCAAAAAAAATATATGTTGTAAAGTTTTAGTAAGCTATTTTTTTGATCTATCAATATTTTTATAAATAGAGATAAATTTAATATAAATTATTTTGATTTAAAAAATTAATATTTAAATAATAAATTTCCATTCAATTTTAATATCAAATTCAAAAGTTAAATTTTCAACTATATTGTTAAAAATATTATTTCTAAAAGTCTTTTAAACTTTTTAAAATATTTTAGAAAAAATATGAATCTTTAAGATAAATTAAAATAATGAACCTTAAAGATAAATCCTTTAAAACTTTTAAGAGGTCTTTTAGAACTTCTTAAAAGCTTTTAGATGATATTTTAATTTATTAAAAGAATCTAAAGAAATATGAAGAGTATGTTAAATTGGTATTATAAAAATTATAGGATGCATGATTGTATATCAAGTTGAAAAAATGTATATTCTACTAACTTAAAATGAAGTTTTTGGGATATATTGTCTTAAATAAAGGCTTATTGATGGATTCCAAAAAAATACAAGTAATAATGAATTGGACAATTTCAAAAATAATAAAGGATGTATAAATTCTTTTAGATTTATAAATTTATATTAAATATTTATCAATAATTATTTATAAATTACTACTCTATTTTTATGATTAACATATAAAGATAAATTGAAATGGGGACTTCAAGCAAAAAAGGCTTTTCAAAATATCAAAACAACCTTTATTATAGCTCTAATTTTGATTCATTCAAATTTCACAAAAAGTGTTTTGTTTGGAAATGAGTTTATTTAATTTTATATTATGAGCTATACTATTGCAAATGAAAAAATTTCAGAAGTTCTTCTTAGTTGTATTTTATTCCAAAATGTTTTCAACAACAAAAATTAACTATGATATTTATATCATAGACATACTTGCTATTATAGATTTCATATTTTAGGATTTAGGGTTTAAGCATAATTCAATTGGTGCTTCATCCAAAACTATGTAAACACCAAAGAGACAATCACAAAGCTTTTGCAAAAAATGAAGGAGTTTATATAAATAAATTGGTGCAAAGTAATGTAGTAGGAGATTAAGCGACACTACTTCAAAGCACCAATACTGATTCCACTAAGATAGAATCTTGAATATGCACATAGATGCTTCAAGCATTGTAGTAGGAAATTTATTAGCATAAAACTTGATTGGAGAGTACGACCAATTAATATTGTATGCATCCTAATTGCTAAATTTGGTAGAATGGAATTATAAAATAATAAAACAAGAAGCTCCTGTGATGGTATATGCCCTGTAGAAGTTTTGCTATTATTTACTTAGCAACAAGGTGATATTTTTTGTCGACCACATGGCTCTTATACATCTAGTAAACAAACTCTAGGCATCAAGTCATATTACTTGCTAATAAGTGCTATTCACCAAATTTGATTTTTAGGTGATATATACTCTAAGCAAGATGTATGGAATCATAGATGCACTAAATTGAAGAATGTATAAAGAGCCACCAAGCAATATTCCCTATTCAAGTGGAAATATGATATTATTTTTCCCCAAACCTGAATGGCTTACAGTAGTTTGACAATATCTCAAGTCAAGAGGAGCATTCTTGACCATATCAAAGGATAAATCATAAATACTATCCATCAAGCTATCCCATTTATACTGATAGATAGGGTCTTGTATTGATATGGAGTAGATATGATCTACCGTTAACTGCTCTAATTCATTGAAGGAGAACAAGTACTTTGAAAGATGCATTCCAAAGTTGTTGGTGGCCACTTTTCCTAATAAATCACCACTTGAAAGATCTTAGATACTAGATACTAATGTCCTACCATACACAAAGAAGTCTATGAATACTATAGAGCATGCAACTAGTACCAACAAACAAGGAACTTGAATAAAAAAACAACTACTCTAATGATGGCACTACTGACTTAGCCATTTATGAAGTTGGGATTAGACTTGATCACGCCAATTAAACATGCATCTCATTACACTTACAATTACTACATCTTGATTGCAATGGATTATGCAACTAAGTGAATCAAAGCCAAAGTCCTTCAAATGAACACGGCATCTACCATCATCAAATCCTTGTACAATCGTATTTTGACTCGATTTGCATGTCCATTGACAATTGTGAGTGATTAAAGAACCCACTTTATCAATCAGACCATTGAACAACTCATGGAGCATTTTTTGTTCCAGCATCAAATGTCAACAACTTACTATTTTCAAGAAAATGGACAAACAAAGTCAACTAATAAGACATTGGACAAATTGCTCACCAAGTTGGTCAGCTCAAATAAGATCGACTGAGACAAACATCTCTCCACAATCCTATTCTTCTATTAAACATTTTATAAGATTGTTTGATATTCGCACCATTCTAGTTAGTCTATGGTTTGTATCTCCTGATACCGACCAAAGACTGTAGTGAGTGTAAGGAGGGATGAATTTCAGCATATGATGAAGAAATTACAATCCAAGTGATGTTAAGGAGAAATTCTATTAGACTTCATCAAGTTGAAGGTAGCTTGGAAGGATTTTGATTCTTTTAGTTGATTGCTTCTTCTACCTCATCTTTATTTTATTTTATTTTCAATTATTCATATGTCTAAGATGGTGGTTGTTCGAGGCCAATAGATACATAGTGACCTCATTAGTTAAAGGTTATATTTACATAGAATTATGAAATGACCTCATTAAAAGAACGACATAATTGAATGAATCTATGAAGTAAGAAAAATTCACATTGTGTTAGTTTGAATCTCTATTAGTGCCCCTTGACTTATGAGAGGTGGACCATAAGACATAAACATTGATTGGTGGAATGGGACTATAATAGGTTGGACTGCCA